CACCCTGAGGACTGGTATATCCCTGGGATGAACAGAGGAAGCAAGCCTGCACTGTAAATGAGGAAGAGGCTTTGGGATTTGTTTGACTAGAAGGTGCTTGGGGAAGCAGAGGCTGGGAGCATTCCTTTGAAACTAGGATGGGGAGAAGCAAAAGCACCTGCTGAGCCTGAGCTTACGTCCAGGAGAAAGCTGGATTCAGGAACCAAGAGCCTGAATACAGCAGTGAATTTGAAATGTCTTGCATTACCCAAAAGCTTGCTTAATAATTGTTTCCCAACTATTTAAGTTGGTCTAATAAAAGATATCAGATGCACCCAAAGAACCTTGTCTTGCATTACTCTGGGAACTTTACCAGCTCCAGAAGCTGGTCAGAAACACCTTCATAGCCAGAGTGCCTTCTACTGGCCTTGGTGCAATATAGCACCTTGGTTTTGGGTCCTAGTCTAGAGTAGAGCTAGGGGGGTGGAGAACAGACATCTGGGGTGAAATTCTGGCCCTGGGGGAGTCCATTGATTTCAGTGGGGCCAACTCAGACAGACTTGAGGACTGGGAGTCTGCAAAGAATAGAAACCCTTTCAGCCATGAGATCTCTGGCCACTAAGGGCTCCGTGGAAATAACCGAACCTTCCTGCTGCTGCCCCATTAGACAGAGCAGTCAGCCCACGTTTGAGGTCCAGCAGGTTGTCCCTGTTAGAAGGAGAAATCGTGGGTGAAGGCAGGTGTCTTTGAGGCAAGTCTTTTCATCCGCAAAGACTCTTCTCTGCTCCCTGTCTCCGAATGCAGGGCTACTCAGAGGAGAAGAGAGCATTTCAGTGCCATGTCAGGCAGCACGCCGCCCCCACACCTCCATTTCCAGGCATTTCTTAAAGCTCATTTTGCCTATCTCTGGCTTTCTGCTGCTTCTCCATGTCTGTTTGCCAATACACAGCCACGTCCCGTACCCACGCAGTTGGGTTCCCAGAGTATCCTTTTGTGCCTTTGCATTGGGTGGTGGCCTGCACCTGTGTTTGGGCTGGCGACCACTCATTCAGCAAGAAGCTTCATTGTTACTCAGAGTTGTGTTACATGGAGGGCGGTAGTTACACCTAGGAGCTTCAGTGCCTGGCACAACATAGCTATTTGCACCTGAGCAGCTGAAGAATTCTCCAGAGGTGGAAAAGCATCACTGCGTCCATTGTACAGGTGACAAAGGGAAGTAGCCGGCTTGGGAACAAGGGAGACTGGCTGCATTAGGACCAGAACCCAGGTGTCTTAACTCCCAATTCCCTGCTTTCACCAGCAGACTTTGTCTCTGTAATGAGACAAGAGAAGAGCCAGACAGGGGTTGGCTGTCTGCCTCTGGGTGAGGGAAAGCATTCCTGAAATGAAGGAAAACAAAGACGTGGGCTCCAAGAGGGAAAAGACATCCTGCCTTTGCAGGTATCAGCACAGCCACTGCAGCAGTACTGGAGCATGCGGCCGCACCACACCTAGCCCTGGCTTGGGAAACCCATTTGATTTAAAGGGAATCAATCTCCTAAACCATCTTCTCCTGGGAACCAACTAGAGCAGCTGGAATCAAGAGAGAGGAGGAGACGCCAGATTGATTTTCCCTTTCCCCCATCTCTGAACAGCCCTGGCTTCCGGGCAGGGGCGCTGACTCCTCCGTCTGCCCATGGGCCCCCCACGTGGGCAATGAGAGTAGCTTCCGTGAGAAAATTCAATTAGACCCAGCAAAGAAGATGGATGCTGGTGCTCCCTCGCCGGGGCCCCAGTCTGCTCTGCTCTGCTCCACAGTGAGATACTGACTGCAGGGGCTCTTAGGAAAGTACCCTTGTAAATCTAATGGCATTTATAGCCAAGGCTGGCCAGGGCAGGCTTTCCAGACAGGGGCACGCCAGCGGGCACCTGGCGCGGAGGCAGGATTGGCTGCTCTTGAGGTCAGATGTCACTTTGAAGGAGAATGCCAGCTGGTGTGGAAGGCAAGGGGCTGGGTCTAGTGCTTTTCTCATGACACTTAGCTGAGTATCTGTAAAGCGGCCTACAGCTCTGCTCACCACAGTGAGAGGGGGGCTAGCGCCAGTGTCCTGACCAAGTTTGGGTAACTATCATTCAACCTGCCTGATTCCCCGCTATTCACCCCCAAGTCCGGCCGTGCCAGTTCAGTGTGGTACAGTAGACACTTTCTGCTCTGAGCCTTTGTGCGTGCTGTTAGAGATGGCCCCATTCTGCACCAATGACAATGGGGTTTTATTTAAGATTGGGTGAGGGAAGAAGGGTTGATAGTTTGTGGGGGTGGGGGAGGGCATAGGCAGAAAAAAAGGAACTGTTTTTTAAGTATGTTTGTAGTGTGCCTGGCACAGCCTGGAATATGTGGCAATCTAAGGATAGGGCTATGATGAGCTTGCCTGGCTTGAGGGTGAGCTTAAAAGGAGGGATGACTTATACAATGAATTCTGCAGAGAGCAGGGTAAGAGCGTCATCACTGCAGGTTGGTATTCAAGGACTCTGCATGGCTCAAGTTGCAGCAAGGGAAGTTCAAGTTAGATATTAGGAAAAACTTTCTCACTAGGAGGGTAGTAAAGTACTGGGACAGCCGGCTACCTGGAGGTGGTGGAATCTCCATCCCTGGAGGTTTTTAAGACCTGGCTACACAAAGCCTTGGCTGGCATGATCTAGTTGGGGATGGTCCTGCTTTGAGCAAGGGGTTGGACTCACTCAATGACCTCCTGAGGTCTTTTCCAACCCTTATTTTCTATGAGTCTATGGTTTCAGGCTGCAGCACAAGAGGTGGCAGGCATGTGGCATTTAGAACAGACATGAGGCCAGGCTGTCTCAGGTGCCTACAGGAGTCAGGCACACACCTGGCAGCAAGGAGCTGCGGTAACCCCCAGCTTGGCAGCCTGGCTTGTTACACTGTGGTGGATTAGGCCCAGGTGTGCTGCAGGGCTGGGTGGAAGGCATCCATTGGAGAGGGGCTTTTAGCAATGGCATTGGGCAAATGGCTGCAGCAGGATGGGTAGGTGGCATCCCTTCTCCGCTAGACCTGTGCGAAGGACATCCACAGCAATGGTGCAGCTGCCGTGGTACCACAGAGCCATCTGGTGGGCACAAGGTGCCAGCCTCAGCTACAGGAGTGGGGCTGCATTGCCCTTTCCACTGTATCCTTATTACCCCACGACTTTGCCTGGGCTCCCCCCAAGCCGACAAGAGCCACAAGTGCAGCCCTTGATTTGAGCTGAGTTGTGCATAATGAAGCTGGGAAAGGGAGACCTAAGGGATAAAGCAGGGTACTGCCCACCCTGTGTCCCCTGGTTCCTACAGCCAGTGTGACAGAGAAGGCCCACAAGCCCCTCCTGGGGAGTTAAGCATATTCAATGGTGGGGGAAAAAATTCCCACTGGGATCAGCATAGGCAGGGGGGAATCATTTCAGAGCCAACCTGTCTCTCCCCAGAGCCACACCTCCCTTGCCCAGGGCTCCCGCTGGATTTGCTGATGCCCACAGTGCCCAGGGTCCCGCAGGGAGCATGCTTAAGTTGCCTCTGTAGGCAAGCCCCTTCGGCAGTGGAGTACTGGGGACACCCAGTGCCTGCCGAGGTAAACGTCAGGCCTGCGTACACTAAGGGAGCTGGTGCCAGCCCACGTGGCCGTCCCCTTTGGAGCCAGCCTTACAGCGGTGTATGCTCAGCAGAGCTCACTCAGTTCTGCTGAGCATCTCAGGCAAAGACTTGCTCCCACTTCCAGCCTGTAGTTAGAGGGAGCATAATCCCAGGGTGGCGTCCTGACTGCATGGTTTTGGGCCAGCCAGGGGCTGACTGTCCAGCGGCATTGGGGCATGGGGCTGCCTGATGCCCTGTGCTCTCTAGGGATAGCTCAGACCCTCTCTGACAAAGGGGCAGGCAGTGGGTGCTGAGCTGCATGTTAGTGACCCCTTGCCCCACTGCAATGAGGCACTGGATGAATACTGCCCCCCAAGGACAGTGCGGGCAGCAGTGAGGTGAGCACACTGGGGTATAGACCCATTGCCAGCAGGCAGGGAGCTCACACCTGGCCTCAGCCTCCTAAGGGGTAAGAGCAAAGAGCTGTGAAGTCAGAGACTCAGTTCAGCTCTAGGATCTTGGAGCCAGGCAGGGGAGAGGGCTGTGAGGCAGGGGGGACCCTGTCTCATAGGCCAAGCTGGGGTCTCCAGACAAGCTATACGTCTTGGTTGTCCGAGCTGAAGCTTGGGGGAGGTGATGCTCCCTGGGAAAAGACTCCTGTGCCTTCCCAGCCTGTGGACCTGAGCTCTCTGGACCCATGATGGAGGGTGCACTTCCTGCCCGCAGAGAGGCTGTAGATCTGCCAGCTTCTGTCAGGCAAGGGCGCAAGTGGGGAAGTGGGCATGTGCCATTCCTGGAGGCCATCCAGCACCAGGCAAGAATGGGTGGGGACTGCTAGCATAGGCCTCTTTGTCTGGGGGCTGCTAGCATAGGCCCCCACCTATCCCCCAGGGTGGTGGTGGGGAGCATGCTCAGCCCTGGGGTGCAGACAAACCCTCCAGACGAAGCAATGTTCACAAGAGCCTTGTTTATTGCCTTCACCCACAGGGGTGTTCTCAGTGGCTGAGGATGCATGTGGGGCCACATTTCCAGGCATAGCCAGTTGCAGAGAGCCTGGCGAGGCGCAGGGCTGGGGTGCCTCAGAAATTCTCGCTTTTTGCAAAGGAAAAAGTGAGCATGTTGTACTGGATAATGGTGTGCCCTGGCGCTAAGGGGTTAAACTGCGTACACTGCCCTGGCAGGCCCAGCAAAGAGGACGTGTACATGTATGTGCACATGCACACACAGACACACATATGCACTCACACACACGTGCACACAACTGCTCTCACTCACTCACACACCTGCTCCCTCAACACTCAGCCAGTCTACTCAGGGGAGGGAGCCCTCTTCCAGAAGACTGTCTCAGCAGAAGCTGTGCTCGACTAAGGCCAGTGCTGTGGCCTGGAGCCCTCAGCAATTCGGCAAGGTATTAGGTGGGGAGATGCACCTAAGCGTGACCTGGCAGAAAAGCATTTGGTGTGGAGGGGGATGTGCCATTTCCAGGTGCACAGGAAGAGCCTTGGAGCAAGTAGAGCTCATAGTAGAGTGTCTAGGGTCTGGGGAGTCTGAGGAGCCTTGGGGCAGAGGTGGCTTTGAGGGGTCCCCTATTTCTGCAGCACAGAGCCAACGGTGCTGTCTGGAGGCCTTTTATCTAGAGCACGGCTGTCCACCCTCTAAGCTACACATTAGGCAGACTTCCCTTGCCAGGCTGAAGGAAAGCAGGTAACTTGTATCCCTATTTAATAAATGGGAGGGGAGAGATTAAAAGACTTGACCCAGGTCACAGAAGGAGTCAGTGGCAAAGCAGGGACAAGAACTGACAGTTTCCTGGGTCTGGATCTTACAGGCCTCTCTCTCACTCTTTAAAGCTTCCAAAAAATTGAGGGCCGCATCCCCCTCAAAGGTGACTGGGCTGGACTTGGAGGTGGGAGCACCTGCTGAGGGCAGGGGAGGAGGGGTTAGTGTTGGAAGCAACATGTGTCCCAAAGCCTCAGCAGGCAGTAACTTACAGGACTTCCTCTCTTTCTCACACAAGCGCACACACACACGCACGTGTGCACACACACACACGCACAGCAGGTTATATGCTCGTGGCCCAGACTGCCAGCCTTGACTCTGGAAGCAGCACCATGCAGAAACCATATGAAGGCCATGGAGGGCTTGAAAGTCAGTTCTGGTGAGCAGGACCTAGCCTGATCCAAGGGCCCCTGGCCAGGCTATGGCTCCACCATCACGCTGCTGTTAGTCGCGCGGACCCCATACCAGCCTTTCCAGAAAAGAGTGTCCTGACCACCGTGTTCGAAGCAAATGAAGCGGACCCCTGGGCCATAGTCAGAGAAGGTGTGAGAGGCCTTAGAGGGAAAAGAAACAAAACAGCTTCTAGTAAGTTGCCCACCTTGAATCCCCACTCAGAGAGGCTTAATGGGTTAGCAGGCTGCTGAGCTGCATGGTAACCCCACCTTATAGCCTTGGTACAAGGGCTGAGGAAAGCAAGAGGATGCAGCTGGGAAAGCTCCACATTCCCCCTTGCCCCCCGGGCTGATCTGCTGTCCCCCGCATGCCTGGCCCTGCCTCCCCAGCTGGTCGTCGGGCCTCACCTCATTCCAGCTGCCATCGTTGTCCTCTGGAATAGCAATGGTCTCGCTCTTGTACTCTGCCAGGACATCCTCATGCTCCGACAGCAGCTTTGCAGAGAACTCATAGAGGCAGCCAGCATCGCGGCGACCTGCATACCTGAAGACGGACCCAGCCCCAGTGTCTCAGAGGGGAATGGCTGAGCCTGTGCTGGATATCATGTAGCCACAAACTCAGGTGAGAGCCAACTGGGGCCAGAAAACAAAGCCCCAGTGGTCTGCTGCCCAGTCACTGAAGACTGCTAGCAACAAGGGAACATCCATGCTCTCTCAGGCACTGGCATTCTTACTACTCTGCCTGCAATGGGAGCTTTGGGAGCTCAGCACTTCCAAAAAAATCAGGCCTTAGCTTGGTTCCCAGTGCCAGACCTTTATCAACATGGGCAGTGATGGGAAGATGGGACAAGGAGGCATAGCCCCTGCCTCTCATCCCCATCTCCATCCTCCCAGCCCTCCTCTCCACTCACCAGTCCTTCACCACAATTTTAGGCTGGGTGGTGTCCATCAGCTCCTCCCAATACCCCTCAGCCCGGAGGTCAATGACCTGAGACTTGCGGCACCACCTGGAACACAAAGGGGTTAATAGGTAGCAAAGCCCTGGCTCCCCTTCCAGTGGGAGAGGGGGGACATAAAAGACAGCCTTACTCATAAGATGTGACGAAGTACTTGTGGACTCCATCGCTGGGAAAGCTTTCCCCAAAGTCCCCAGGGAGCTCCTCCACCTTCCAGCCATCACCTCCATTTGCCACATCCCCCCAGTGCTCCAGATCCTCTGCATAACAAGAGAAAGATCTTGGGTTATATCTCACATGGGCTCCAGGAGGACCAACATTCCTGCACAGGGGTTTCTTCAGCCCATCTCATGATGAGAGTTCAATTCAGGACCAGACTGACAACCCACTGACACTAAAAAGTGCTAACTTCTGGGGGACCTCTGCAGTGTAAGGATCTTGTAACCCAGCCTTTCATTCGCAGCAACCATCTCCTCAACCTCCCTTCACTGCAGAGCCCTGCTTGGCATTCAGGACAGATTGCGCTTATTTGACCAAGGTCTGATGGGAAATACATTGCAATACTGTGTGTTAACCTGACCTCTGAGAGATGCTTGTGGACCCCAAATCCTGCATGGGTTGGAATTGAGCTGTGACAAGTCCCCCAAGGGAAACAGTTCCCTGCTCTTTCTTTTAGAGACATTTCCAATGAGTGCTCCTTGTTACCATGTGTCAAAACATCCCTGCTGTGCTGGTGCTGGAGGCTGGGGGGAGAACTGACTCATCTTGTTCTCTCTTGGAGCAAGACGTCAGGACGAATGGGGGCAAATACATCAGACTTTCAAAACATGTCAGTTGTAACAAACCCAGGTGCTCGTGAAAGAGGGAAGGATTGTCTCAGTAAACTTTGGTGCTCGTATTCCTTGTTTGCAATCAGCTTTTGGCTTTGTCCACAGGGGTGGGGAACTCCAGCCTGCCTTCCCTTGGCTGTGGGTGTTTCCAGAATTTGCCTGGAAGACTGTAGCCAAGTGGTGCCTGCAGCTCTCATACGCTGCCCAGAATTGGAAGCCAGGGGTTCCTGAGTGCCAACCCCAGCTCTGCCACCAGCTCCCTTCCTGGCCTTGGGAATGGCCTTTACTGGAGAGTTTGCAAACACAATGAGCTGCCTGGGTTCTGCATGAAAAGGCCTCTGCTTTGCTGGGGAAGGGGCGGGCTTGGCCAGCCCCTCTGCAGAGTGGAAGGAAGCCCTGTGACCACAAATTACTTGCCCCCGAGTGGGCAGCAGGTCTCCTGCTGCCCAGTCCTCTACCCACCTTCATCCTGCCTCCTGTTCTAGGAGGAGGCTTGTACCAGGGCTACTTGTGAGGCTGAGTTAATACTTGTACTCTGCTTTGGAAATGCAAAGCATCCCCTCCAGGATTCCTGCTGTTGGGATTCATGGAGCACTAACCCCAAGCACAATGGTGGGTTTTGGTTCCTCCTCTCACCCAGCGTATTTCCCTCCTGCACATCCCAGCAAAGCCCCATGCAGAGGGTGAGCTCACAAGGACTCAGCACCTCACCCCAGCTCCACCTGTGGGAAGCCCAAGATAAGAGGCTATGGGGCTAATAGGAACAGGTACTGGCCCATCCCACAGACTCCTCAGAGAGCCAGGGGCAGATGGTGCTCAGTCCCCAGCACTCTCCTCGGCCCCTCACCAGGACTGGGGGGTTGCAAGGTGGAGGCACTCACCTTCCCCACACGGGTTCTTGATTAAGTTCCTCTTCCTCTTGCTGAGGAAGTAGAACATCTGCCAGTTATCTGCCTCCTCCGCCGGCTCCTCTTCGGCAAAGCCCTCTTGCTGGCACTTCAGGATCCAGAGAGCTGCTCCATCCACAAGGTTCTTCCACTGGCAGCAAACCAGGCGGCACACCAGCACCAGGTCCACGGCAGGGATGAAGGCCAAGATCCGAATGAGCACTGCCTCTGGAAGGGAGTCCATCCTGCCACCTGGGAGAATGATGGGGAAGGATCTGCTGAGTCAGAGCCCTGCATTGGCCCTTGGACCTTGTCTCCCAGATTTGGGAAGGTACCTTGGAGGAAGAAAGCCCCGAGCCTGGCACCTAGCACACACAGCACCTTCTTACTGACAGCAATGTTCCAGGGGGAACGAGTTAATTCCTAACCTCAAGGCCTCCTGATTGCCAACCATTTTGTACCCTGAAGCATGAGAGTGGATTGTCCTTCCTTGAGGGCAGACGGCACTCCCCAAGCTCCAGCAGCCTGGATGTGTCAGCTGAACTGTGAAAGGCAGTGGGCCTCCAGAGGAGCTTGTGGGTGAGGAAATTTGGACCTCGTGTGTCACCAGCCCGTGCCTCCAAACATCATTCCTTCCTGAAATGCGCTTATGTGGGAATCTGGCACTGAAAAAGATGCTGGACACATGGAGTCCCTCTCCGGTGAAAAGCTGCAGGCAGCAGAAGTTCAGGGTGCCTTGAGATGACCACTTATATGTCCTGGAACGATGCCCTGAAACCCTGGTGATGGGCATTCCTATCAGTCCCTACACAGCAAGGCAGATGGAGGCTGGCTAGTCCTGGATTTGCAAGCCCTGCACATCAGAGCGTGTCCTATTGTAGGACAGGGCCTGCTTAGCGGGCAGGGCATTGTGTGTGCTTGCAGATCTCCCAGTCAAGGCCTCTGGGACTCTCTCTGCCTCTTGAAGCTTTGTCACCCTGGCAACAGGATCCAAAGCATCCCTTTGCTCTGGCGCACTGCCCTGGAGGCCCTCCCTGACCCTGCACATGACCCTCCAGGCCCAGCAACTGCAGAAGGAACCAGGGATGAGTATGAAGATTGAGAGCCACGTGCCACCCCCACGGGATGCACCATGACTGTGCTTCTGTCCAGCCAGATCCCTGCACCTGGCAGATGCTGGGACTGCAGGGAGATGCTGCCTGCATAGATCTTTCCAGACTGGCCAGGAGCAAGTCACAGAGCCTATCAATAGCAAAGAGCTACTCAGCTCATCTGGTGGTGCAGCCAGCAAGGAGTGGAACCCAGGGGCCAAAATATCCCCTAAATGACCCCTGGAGCAACCAGCAGTAGTCATTCAGCCAGGCCCCAGCAGGTACGGTGCTGTGTCAAGGCAGAGAGGGATGCAGGGGGCATGGCTGCCAGGAGCTTGAACTCCCCAGCTCCAGCCCCCGAGCTCATGTGCAGTAGGCACCAAATCTGCTGCACCGGCTGCTGCTAGCAAACAGTTACTAGCTCAAACTTCAGCATGCAGAAAAACTGTGAGGGGCAAAGCCAGGCAGAATCAGGCTGTGCTGGCTCCAGCCCCCGCTCTGATACCCACAGGTACTTCAGGGCACCTGACGGACAAACTCACTGCATGCCAATCAGATCTAACCTCTCATCCTCTTTGCCTGACTCTCCGCCACGCCTTGTAAGGATGGGGGCTGCAACTTTGCTTTCACCCCGCACCCCCTTACTTCACCTTCCTCTCTCATAAAATGAACGACTTGAGAGCTCCCTACCAGCTCCTTTCCCCTTGGGGCTGCCCAGCCCTGCCCTACTCTATTCTATTACCCCTTTCTGTAGAGATGCACCTGCTGCCTTGCAGAGGAGCATGGATCTGGGGGAATTCTGCCCCAGCGCAGCCCTGGAGCAGGCTGAGCAGGCTCTGGGGAGAGGACTTTGCTGCAGATCTGGTGCGTGCTCTCCAAGAGGGCTGCATCCCACTGCAGTGATGCCTGCAGCTGCCCTTCTCCCACCCCATCAGCACAAAAGGGATGGAGCTGAAATGCTCCTACCTGAGCCACTGCTTCTGAGGCTGCTGCACCGCTCTGGACTGATCTGTCGCAAGCAAGTGTTGCTGACTCTTCCTCGTCAGAGCCAGGAGAGGCAGGATGGGCTCCCCTCTTAAAGGGGCAGTGCAGTAGCCTTTGCCACTCGCAACTGCATCATTTATTGGCTTGTGTTTTCATGCTGACCTGCCTGGAGGCTTGCCTGGGATGGTGTAAGCATGGGATCGGGTACCAGGGCATACCAATCCCTACCTTCATCTCCGCTATTAGGTCACTGTGTGAATGTGGGCAAATCTCATTGCCTCAGTTTCCCCAGTTGGTAGAAGAAGGATAACATCACCAGGTCTGAATAGTGCTTGGTGCAATTTTCTTGCCTTTTGCCATCATGCAGCACTCCCTTATGCACCTCATGGCATGGGAAAGGGATTGGTTTGGCCCAGGACTCCAACCCCTGGCCTGTGCCAGGCAGAAGTCAACGTAAGGGGAGTCCTGGATTGCTGCAGTGTCCGAAGTGCCCTCCCCCCCACATTGCTTATGGGTTGGTGGGTGTGAAGTATAGGGACCACACAGCTGAGGATGGTATACATATCCTAATTATAGATGAGGTGGGGTCTCAGGTTTGGGGATCAGAGGTGCCCAGCTTATTTGGCAGACAAGGTTCTTTGGGTAAATCTGATATCTTTTATTAGAGCAAATCAAATAGGTGGAAAAATTCTTCTTTGTGAGCTTTTGGCTACAAATACCCTTCATCAGGCTGAGGAAGCATCTGCAGTTGGTGTGTGCTCTGCCTGGATGGAAGAGCACACAGCTATTTGGGGCATGTAGCCTGATGCCATCTCCGTACCTGGAAACCTCTGCTCCCAGGAAGCAGAGTCCTTCCCCTAGACACCGGTTTTTATTTACAATGAATTGCATGAGCAAGTGGAATATCTCAGAGCTACTGACACCTCCTCCTCGCACCCAGCTTCTTGTCCCCTCGCACTGCAGTTGCAAGGCCTTCCTCCTCCCCTTGAAGTATCTGCATAATTACAGTCCAGTCCCCACCTCCATCTGGGCTCCTCTTCATTCCTCCTCCTGCTGTCTCTTTCCCGTCCTCAGTTGTGTGCAGGCATCCACTTTTCAGCGACCTCTGACTTGTGGTGCATCTGCTCTTTGGGAGGCAGGATGGGGGGCTGGGGTGTGGAAATCCCAACTTGAAATACCTCCAGGCTGATTTTCAACAGGGCCCAGACTCCCCACATGTGTCAAATTACTGGCTGCATGACTGTGTAATAGGAGCCTAGGCTATTTCCAGGGTGAGGCTAAGCAATGTCATTCTAATTACTTATTATTTGCACAGGGTGGGGTCAGGTGTTTGCTGGGCCGAGCAAGCACACAGGGCCTGCCAACCTGCAGTCTCATTTCAGATGTAATAGGAAAGTGCAGCGGAGAAGCAAACGGTGCGGGGCTCATGCAGCCACCCCACTGCACTATGCGTGAATTTGGGCCACTCTACCAAAGTGCTGGTGTGATTAATTTTGGTAGCACTGACAAGGAGGGTACTGGGTTTGCAAAATGACTTCCCTTTGAAGGCCCTCATTACACAGTCATTTCAGGGCAGCTCCTAGAGCTCTTAACCCCTATTGGCACATTCACACACAAAACTGTTTCGATGTCCTCGGTGCGCAGCTCAGAGTTTGTGTGGGGGACATTTTAATAATGTCCCAGGTCAAATTAGCCAAATCAGTCCCAAATCATATTGATTGAGCAGAACTCAAAAACCATAACAATTGAGCAAGCAGAACTCAATTGTCCTAAAAGCCAGTACGGTGCTACAGCTGGCAAGCGTCCTCCATCCCAAGGCTATCACCCTGGGACTGCAGATACCCCCAAATTCATTGGCAGGCATCCTGTCCTGGAGGCGTTGGGATTGAATGCCTCCAAATACAAACATCCCCCACCCCAGACGCTTTAGTGCAGGACTTCAGATAGTCCCTAGGCTCGCTGTTAGCGCGCGAGAGGCTGAGACGGGCAGCATGATCTCTAAGGGGGCCCTGGGGGACACGGCTGGTGGGCCTGAACACGACTACTCCAAGCCCAAACCAGTGCTAACATTAGGGTGGCCATCACAGGGGACAAGCTGGTTTTGTGCTGCTCTGTCCATTCAAACCTATGTCCTCTTCAGGAGAAAAACAGAGGAGCGGCCCGGCAGGGGGACCGACCCGGGCTTGCTCTACGACAGCACCCGTGTGCAGCTCGCTGCTGCGCCGCTAGGGGAGGTGTTGTCGGCTCGGCTCTGCGGGGCGGGGCGGGGCGGGGCGGGGACTACCGAGAGCTCGGCTGCCGGTCTT